ACTTAATGGTGGAAGACTGGACAGCTTCTCCTAAGATGAAGAATAAGACAAGGATGGCTGCTCTTGCCTCTTCTAGTCAACCTTGTACTACGGGCAATTAAGACAAGAAAAAGATAGAAAAGCCACCCAGATTAGAAAAGAAGAAGTACAACTATCTCCCTTTGCAGATGACATGAAATTATATAAAGAAAGCCCTATGAAATTCACCAAAAGAAAGAAAAATAGACTATGAGAGCTAATAAATGAGTACAGCTGGGTGGCAGGACACAAGATCAACACACAAACATTATTTCATTTCAGGATACTAGAAAAGTATCAAGCAGAAACAAAATTTAGAAAGCAATTCCATTCACAATCACATTAAAAAAATACTTAGAAAGAAATTTGACAAAAGTACGAAACCTATACATCAAAAACTACAGAGAAATGTAGGAAGAAACTAAAGACCGAAGTAAATAAAAAGAATCCTGTGTTTATGAATTGGAGCGCTTAAGATTGAAAAAAGTGGCAATACTCTCCAATCTATAGATTCAAAGCAGTCCTTCTCAAAAATCCCAGAGGCCCTGTTTGCTGAAATTGACAAGTACATCTTGAAATTCAGATGAAAAATACAAAAGATCCAGAATAGCCAAATAGTCTTCAAAAAGAAGAACAAACTTAGAGGGGGTGTACTTCTTGATTTCAAAACTGACCACAAAGCTACAGTTAGGACTGTGTGGTACTGGCATAAAGATAGACATGTAGGTTAATGCAATCAAGTTGAAAGCCCAGAAATAAATTCTTACATTCATGAACAACTGACTTTTGACAAGGGTGCCAAGACAGTTCATTGAGGAAAGAGGAGTATTCTCAATATATTGTACCAGGACAGCTGTACAATAGAATAAAGTTGTACCTCTCCCTTGCCCCAGGTATAAAAAAATAACACAAAATAGATGAAAGATCTAAATGCAAGAGCACAAAGCACAAAACTCTTATCAGGACGCACAGACAAATATCTTTGTGATCTTGGCCAAGGCAATGGTTTCCCAGACATTGCACCCAAAGCACAAGCAACAAAAGAACATAGATAAATTAGTCTTCTTCAAAATGTTCAACTTTTGTGCCTGCAAGAGATATCATCGAGAATATGAAAAGACAGCCTTAATATTTTCAAATCATAAGTAAGGGACTGTACTAGACCAGGAATTAGAATCCAGAATGTATATAGAACCCTTATAACCAAACAACAAAAAGACAGATGTCCCAGTTAAAAAGTGAGCCAAAAATGTATTTCTTCAAAGAAGATTTACAAATTACCAGTAAGCACAGGAAAGGTTACTCAGCATTACAACTCATCAAGGAAATGCAAAACAAAACCACAGTAGGACACAGTTTCCACTCACTATGATGGCTGTAATAAGAAAGACAATGGACAATAACAAGGGTTGGCCAGGATGGAGAGAAACTAGAACCCTCAGTTTGGCAGTTTCTCGAAAACCTAATAAAGTTACCAAGTGACATATGACGCAGCAATTCCATCCCTAGATTCATACTCAAGAAAACTGAAAACCTAAGTCCACATACAAAGGTGTCCAAGAGTGTTCATAACAGCAGCATTCATCATGGCTGAAAAGTGGAAACCACCTAAATATGTTTCACCTGATTAATGAATAAAGTACAGCCGGGCTGTACAAAGGAATGATATTCAGCCATGAACAAGAATGAAGTCTGGATATATTCTACAACATGGGTGGACACTGAAAAGTTAAAGAAACCAGACACGAAAGGTCCCATATTATACTGATTCCATTTACATGAAATGTCCAGAGTAGGCAAATCCATGCAGACAAGAAAACAGACAGTGGCTGCTGAGGACTGGTGGGAGAGGGGAATGAGGAACAGCTGCTGCGGGCTACAGGGTTTCTTTTTGGATAATGAAATGTTCTAGGCAATGGCAATTGTTTTACAACTTTCTGCAGATACTAAAAACTACTGAATTGTATACTAAGAGGGTGAATTTTATGACCTATAAATTGTATTTCAATAAAAAAAGTGGCACTAGAAAATATTTAAAAACTAAAAATGCAAAATAAATGAATCTCAGAAAAAGAAAATCGAAATAATACCTGGCTGGTGAAAGTACTCATATTTCTTTATAACCTTGAGCCAGGAGCTCAGCCGTGTGGTGTGGAGGAAATAACCTATTGATTGTGGTTGTGCGTCCCCAGGGATATCTGCCTCGGTTTTGTCCTTTATCACATCTTGGCTCCAAACTGCCCACCTTCCCCATATTGCTAACTAATAGTTTCAAGCCCCTTGAAAGTAGGTCTGTCAACTTAGACACACAATAGGTCGGCATTGTCTAACACACAGGTTAATTCCTTTCAAAAGCCCATTATATAATTTAGTTCACCTCAACAAATATTTATTGATCACTTTCCACAGGCCATGGGTAATAACTACAAAGGAAAAAAAAAAAGACGATGATGTAAGTCCTACTTTTAAGGGGTAAACAAATAATGATATAAAATGTGATGAATAGAAATAGAAATACACCTGATGGGGAATGGAGGGGGAGGGAAAGTAAATATCAAGGAAATCTTTCTGGAAGAAAAAGACTATTTGGGGTTTTCAAGAATGAATAGGAGTTCACCGTGTTATACTTTTTCCCTGAAACAAAAATGCCATCTTTGGCAGCTTCCTTCTAATGTAGACCCTGTAGCTCACTTCACACACACAATGGTACCAGCTGGATTTAGGGATTTTAGAACAGGGATCATACTGTTCAGAGGAAGTAGAGTTTCCTGAATCTTTCTTGGAGAAAAGCCAAGATGAAATTTAAAATTTTGGCAAATGGTAAGGTCTATTTCTGGCACATTCTTACCCCCTTGTAGGTATCTAGGTATCTCTCCTCATGTTCTAACCAAAGCCTGCTTCCCTTGTTATCCCCAGAGCCTTCTTAGTTACCAGATCGTCCCTTCTGCCCTCCCCTTCAATTCTCCCTCAGCTAATTAGTTAGGAAAACAACCTGATTAAATATAGTAGGTCCCATTTACTATTCAGGTTTTAACTATTTTCAGGTACCTCTAAAGGTACCCGACGTGTTGTAATTTTCAACTTTGTTGTGTCATAAATTTAAGTCTGAGTCGCTTGGCACAAGTCACACAGTGTGCAGACCAGTGGGACACCCACATCTTTGTTGTGATTGCCATTTTGTTGTCACAGCTGCAATAATTTTTAAAGAAATCATGATAAAATGCGTCTATCAAAAGTACACCCTCAAAAGAAAACAAACCTCCAAGGCTAGGAACAAATTTGAAAAATCTCAAGAAAAATGCGATAAGTATTTCTCAAGAAAAAAAATACTGTTTAACTGTACATTGATTTTAGTCCTTTATGAAGGACACGCTTAAAATTTTCATGAGTTTTTCAAAATGGGCTCATTCATTCACTGATTTGATCAAAAATATATGTTTCAAAGCTGGAAATACAAAAATAGAGACATAGTCTCCGCCCCTGTGAAGCTGAAAGTCTTTTAGGGGAGGCCAGCCTTATGCAAATAAACACCATAGAAAGCAGAGGAGTCCTGCTTTTTCACCTCACACTGGAAGGTTAAGAATTGTCTTGGGCCACACAGTAAATACACAAACACCGAGGAATGTTGATTAGCAAAAAAAAAAGGGTCCACACCTACTTTTTACAATATCCAGCACCACAGATAAGCAAAAAACAGGTCCTCGCAAAATCAGCATGTGGCCCAGGCCACAGGTTGGACACCCCTGCTGAGTATTTTGGTAGAGGAAGCCCTGAGCACACAAGGCCGAGGCCCACTGAACAGCAGCCCAGGAGTCAGGACTGTCCGGTGAGAAGGTGACAGTTAGCCTGAGACCTGAGGAATCTGTGTGCAGTGGGGAGGGTGTTTAAACAGATTTTGAAGGCTTGCTGATCCTCAGGTAGCTAATTTCAACTGATCACCAGGAAGAACAAAGACCCTGTGACTTTAGGGGAGGGTAATACATTCTGGTTCATATCACGAAAGGATGTAGAGTAATTTTGATATCAAGTACAACTCAAGTTCACCAAGATGGTACGTTATTTATTTAAGTCAGAATGCAGTTATGGGCAATGTTCTAAATGAAACATTCTTCCTCAGGTACAACCAAGAACCATGAAAATCCCAGATACTCTGAAACTATCCTTTGAGAATTTTATGCGTCACAAGTAAGTCAAAAATTTAAATCAGGACAGGACTTTAATTCTAGTTATATGTATTTGAAGACACGGGACAGTAGAGTGAGCGGCTTGGCAAGTGGAATGTTTAAGAAATGGGGCTTCTTGATTGGTTTCATGTTCTGGTTAAAACAGGTAATTAGACCAAACAAAATAATCACCTTTTTGCCCAAATGTCTATGGAAACAACTGTACAAAGTATAGCCTTCCTTCCCGCTTTCACAAGGACCACGTAAGAAATAAGAGAGCAGAGTTCTTTGATAACTCCGGCAGAACTAAATACAGATTCCCTGGGGAGATGACATATCTGATTCGCACATGTAGGAGATTACACATAACCTAGAATAACTCGAAGACATTCTCTGCTATTTTCAGTAACGATTTACTTTTTAGTAATTAAAATGGCCTTATCAGTTTGGTTAGCTCTCATTACAGCTTTCTTATCAAGATCAAATAGAAATAAGATTCAGGCAGAATTCTGATTAGTTGGTTTTTTCAAAGTTTCTCTCTCTCTCTCTCTCTCTCTCACTATCAGCCAGGGAATAAGAACTCAGCTTTGACTTTATATAAAAACTGAAAACATGGATTTACCCCAAATAAGACATCAATGTAGGTTCACTTGTTTTGCAGTGAAAGGTGGGAATGTGGGCATAATAGTGAGCCTTACATATGACCAAAAATGCTACAGGAGATCAAATAGTGACATCATCCCCCACACAGAGAGCAATAACGTGGGCAAATAAACAGGTCTTTTTGAACCCTTGTGTTTCACAACGGTAGATGTTCTGATTCATTTTATGACCTTAGGACCATTTGTTCCAGATTGATATATAAAACCAGGTACCTTGTGCCTGGCCCAGGAGGAGATGGGTATCTGGGCAGTACAAGCTCTGGCATTAATGTCTTTACCTGTATTGACTCTTTTAAAGAGCTTGTAGGTCATGATAAAAAACAGTTCTAATAATTATTCATGGACTTTCAATGGAAAACTGATGATCTAAAATCAGAGATCTCTGAGCAAAAGTTCACTCTCCTATGAAATAGACTTTTGAAATTTGTTGCCCCTTTTTGTCTTGAAAGTTTCACACTTTAATTCCCCAATCCTAGAGCATGAGTTGGTTGTATTTTAAACACACAGCTCCTATTCCTTTAAAACTGAGACCAAGGATCGCCTAAACTCATGTCAGCACCAACCAGAAGTATCATCAGATTGGCTGTTGTAGGAGTTGTTTTTATTTTTTTAGTGTAGTGAGGAAATTGTGCCACTTCTGTTTGAGACTTAACTAGAGTGAGTATAAAGCAAGGGCCAGGTTCTGTTTGTAGTTTATAAAATCTATCTCATATTTTTTCTCTCACTATATATAGGCAAGTGGAATTGTGTTCACTGAAATAAGTCTTTTAAAAGTATCTTTAATTTCAGTAGTGAAAATAGCGTTCGTTGAATGGAAAGGATGAAAAAATAAGGGAGAGGGAGGGAACAAAAAAGGAAGGAAGAGAAGATGATAGGAGGACAGATAACTTTTATTGAATTGTAGACTAGAGAGATCCGAAACTATTCATTCCTGAAAATACCCTCTCCTCCTTAGCCCACAAGGAGTAACAGAAGGGGTTTTCTTTCTCTTTTTTCCAGTCCTCCAAAGGCAATTGAATAAAACGAACTGGCTGAACTGTTTTGGGTAAAAAGCAAAAATGATCTTGAAAGATCTTTGTAGAGGTAGCAACCATGACATGGATGGAGAGCGTTGGAGAGCCCTTCAAAGTTTACTCATTTCTCAACCTTTTAAAACGAAGCAGTTTTGAAAACCACATCGACATGGTTTGGGCTCACACATATTTTGCTTGAGGGTCTCTCCTTGGCCACCAGGAGAAATAGGATATGGTCCCAACATTTTCTCTAAAATCGGAATGTTCTCACCAAAGTATTTTCTCAGTTTTGCTTTTTAAGGGTAGATTACTGATCTGGAAGAGTTGTTATTAATCTTTTTCTAATAAAAATTTTAAAAGAGTAAAGAATTCTTTCCTAAATACTTACTATTTCTGACTATATATGCTCCGAAAGTGGAAATTTTCAAAATGAAGGTTTTACCAAAATCCATGAAAATACCACTGAGTAAAAGGAGCATCAGAAGTAGTTGTCTTTGGACCATCTTCTCGCCCTGCTGCGAAGTGACCTTGATCACCAGGTTTATAGGCGGATTCAAGAGACTACCTGTGTTAAAATATATAAAGACATATCTCGTTGGTCACGGCCAATTAACTAATGGATTTTCTTTCTTCTTCTCAATTGGAATGATGAGACTCCATTATCCCAGATCCCAGACTGTTCTCAAATCTTCCCAGGATGACATCTCCACAGGTTTGCTTTCTATTAGAGTATCTGTAAAGTACTGCGAAACATACTATGCCCAGGGGAGTAGAATGAAGAATTTAATCCTTAAAATGACTTCTAAATTTCCTGAGCAAATTGCCATGCTGGAGTTGGTTCCCAGCCCTCCCTTCTCTCCAGCCACCCCTGTGTCCCACCTCCAAGAAAGCGGCTGTATCTCGACTTCACCATTGACCGCAGTCTCACTCTTTAGAGAAGACTGGGCTGGTTTAATGCAGCACAATCTGTCACTTTAGTGACCTTTTCCTTCTCATTTGCTCCCATATTAGCCGAAGCCACCTGAAGTTTTTCATTCATTTGATATATACAGTAAGGAAAATTACAATTATTTTATTTACTTATGGGCAAATCTAAGCTCTATCCTGGGAGGGTGCGAGGGAGCTTCAGCCAGAACTGAACTGAGAAGGCAGCTAGAAGGGAAATTTGAGGATAGAAGAGATGTCTTGAAGGGGTGCCAAAGAGGTACCAGAGACGCGAGTAACAGCTGAGGTTTGGAGATAAACCACCGTAGCTGGCAGTCCCAATGAATCACTTCTTCAGTATCAAAAATTATTGGTGTAGTTCCTGGCTCTCATTTAGCCAAATTGGAATGAAGAGCCTCGAGCTGAAAGCACTTACCCAATGAAAGGTCCTCACTCTGCTGTTCTCTGGTCTGTCATCACCTTATTCTCTTGAAACCAAGAGAAGACCAGGTGATATCATGTGCGTTTGGTTTCAGGGATCCCTGTGTTCATTCTGAGTTTCCTTGGCCTGGACTTTTTTCAAACCTGCCTTGGACATGTGCACACACACACACACCATTCCATGCTTTTCCCTCTGCAAAAATATTTATTTTCTTATCCTAGAGGAAAATGTACCACTGTGTCTTTCCACAATGTATTAGCCCCTGGGAGTGTATTTCAATTAGCAAGTTAACAGCTGGATGTGGTGTGCATAGAACAGCCTGTAATATTCCTGGATGACCCTCGTTCTTGCCCATGATCTTGGAGGAGGACTGCAGGGAGAGTGGTTGTAAAACTGGTGAGGAGCTGACGCTTGGTAAATCTAGTGTTGATTCCAGCTGTGACTCTTCTGAGCTGACCTTTGCTCTTATGTGTGATCTCTGAGGTCATGGGAAAAGCATTAGCCTATGGGCAATGAGATCTGGGTCTGAATCCTGGCTGTGCTGTACCCACTTGGCCCCCAGGTACCCCCGTGTGAAACTGGACCAGTGTTGTGTCTCACTGAGAACTAGACACTCAGCTCAAGCAGCCTTCGCCTTTGACCCAGAAAAACTGCCGATACTGGTCTAGCCCCTCTGGTTCCTATCGCTGAGACACGTCCATGTGGCAGTTCTTGTTGTTTATGGCTGAAGCTCCACCCACCTGTGCTGTGTTCCCGTGGACATGCTACAATACCAAGTAGATGATTCATCACCGAGAATGTTACTGCCAGTGATTGTCTAAACTTATCTGTTGGTGACGATAGTGATTTGCAGCATTTTTTAGGATTCAGCTAAACCTTACATATTAATAATAATCTTTAATGAGAATAAGATAAACAGAAATAACTTATCTCTACAAGTGATAGGAATTCCTTCTGGGTTCACAGATGTTTGGTCGGATCCCAGACTCCCATGATACCCCTGGGTTCTTTGTCTCAGTAAACATGGGTATGCACGCTGACCACCTGACCAGGGTCTAGCATCTGGCATGGTACTGAGATATGGCACAAAGAACACCGTTAGGGTTAGGTCAAGGGGATCTGGGTTCATGTGCTCAGTCCATTAGTGCCATAACTCGGGGCTGCTGCTTCCCTCTATTACAGTGATGAGACCAAGCTGGGTCCAGCTCCGTGCTCTGGTAATGTCTCTAGCTCCACCCAGCTGCTCCTTGTTCTCTGGATCTCGTTCCAGAGAATTCAGGGTCTCAGTGTTCCTAGCCATACCAGGATTCCCAGTGGGATGGTGTAATTTCCCACAGTGATTTACTCTTCTACAATCAGTATGGCTTTCGGAAAAACTGAATATTAACCAACTTTTTGTAAACCAAATCATATTTAAAGAAAAAATCAGGATGGTAAGAGGTCAAGATGATCGAAAGAACCCTAAAATGAATTATGTCACAAAATAAAGGTTTATTTGGAATGAAGTACTTCCTCTCCCTGCCATAGCCTTTCTGTAAGATCATATTTGTTCATTTTTTATGTTTGGCTTTTTAAGGAACCAAACTATATGCGTGTCCCTGAAAAGTCTTCTGAGAATTGAATCGTCTTTTCCCTTTAATTCGTACTATAGCTCCAGACACGTTTTAACTTCATGATATACTTGGCAATGACTTCTAATACGTGAAATGGGTTTCTAGGGACTCCTTTTGGCCACTTTGACAGGATTTGTAAAATCTTAAATGTCGTGGAGGATAAAATGATTTTACTCAAAGAAATTTGTATGTGAATTCTGACTCTGTTTTATGAGGCTGAGGTCATTTTGAGTTGCTTTGAGAACGGAATCTAAGCAGCCTGTCCTTCCTTCTTTTGTGCACTCCCCTGCAGAGAGCATTCACTACAGACTGCCCATCCGGGGCCCCAGGACATCTGTCTTCCAGGGACTGCTGTCAAATGCCTACGAAACTTTGCAGGCTATGCAACCTTCTTCCTTGCCCAAAAAGGAACCAAGGGGGAAGAGCACAAGGCAGTGAGGAGTCGGAGCTCATCACCTCCAGACTCCTAGAGAGAACAAACAGTCCACCAAGCCCCTCCCTGACTTCATTTTGCCTTCCCAGGAGTTGCTAGTAGTCTAGTTTTGCCAGCATCGTCTCCCCTACATCTCCTAAAGACGAATGGGCTTAATTTATATAATGATAATGATTTACTGAATAAATGGAACATGCAAAGTGTCTCTCGTTTTATTTTGTTAAGGGCTCTTGTCTATGTTAAAATAGACAACATCCTCCCCCCCAAAAGAAAGAAAAGAAAGACAAGAAGAAGGTTGAGTGTGGTGGTTCATGCCTATAATCTTAGCACTCTGGGAGGCCAAGGTGGGGGGATTGCTTGAACTCAGGAGTTTGAGATCACCCTGAGTGAGAGCAAAACCCCATCTCTACTAAAGATAGAAAAATAAGTCAGGCATTGCAGCAGGTGCCTATAGTCCCAGCTACCTGGGAGGCTGAGGCAGGAGGATCACTTGGACCCAGGAGTTTGAGGTTATTGTCAGCTAGGCTCACACTATGGTACTCTAGCCTAGATGACAGGGTAAGACTCTGTCTCAAAAAAAAAAAAAAAAAAAGAAAGAAAGAAAAAGAAAAGGAAAAGGAAAAGAAAAAACAAGTAAAAGAGAAAGGAAAGAAAGAAAAACTAGGACAACAACCTTCTATTTCTAAGACACAAATTTCCTGGGAAAGTTTTCTCAGCTCTTCCTTCAGGGCAGGAGCCAGAGATGGCTCTAGATCCTTCTTGAAGTCAGCCTATTTCAGAACAAAGGAGAGAAAGGACGGTCACCCTTCTGTTCTTATCTCTGTCAGTTAACTCTGGTAGATGGCGGTGGATACTGTGATGCAAGGACAGGAAATTGGCAAGTGATCAGTTGCTGCAACCCACAAACGCAGGGACTGTCTGTGCCTTGACCTCTTCACCTCACCTGCTTTAGTGTCTTGCACGTATCAGATGTTCCACTAAACCTTGCTCGGTCACATCTATACCAAGCGCTTGTGTTCAGTAGTTTGTTTACTTGAGTTTGAAGATGTAGGCCTCTAACTCTGTCCTGGTCCATGTGCCTGCAGTGACGGGGAGACAAAAAACAAACAAAAAACCAAAAATCTTTAGGCTGTCAATGCAGTGAAACTTCCCTAGTTGACCACCTCCCTACAGTGACCACCTAACATGCATGAGAAGTACGAATCCGTAGAATAGGCCTAGTTCCGTATGTTGACCACCTCCATAATTCACCCGATTGTGACAGTCCCCCGGGTGGTCAATTTACAGAGGTAAATACTTATGGGTGTATATGTTCCACGCTCAGCTTCAAAAAGGTTTACATAAAAAGGGGCCCCTTCTTCTGTTTGAGTTACTGTTTGGGAAAAACAAAAACAAAACAAAACAAAAAATGGCCCCTTTTATTCCTTAGGAGACAGGGGCCTTGTGGTGTCTCAGGATCCTGCTAAGAGGACATTGGACCAACACAGGAGAACCAAACTCTGTGCCAAACGTACTTGAAGAATGGACTTCAACAATCTCCAACAAACGGTCTGGTGCCTAAATTGACCTCAGTTCTTATGGAAAAACAAACAAACCCAAACAAACAGACCAACTGAAAAAAATAGAAAAACTTGCTTAGTCACCCTGTCTTCCTGGTAGGCTATGCTTCTTGGTTTCAGTTGTGCCCACGAAGTCTGATCCCATTCCAGATAATTTTCGAAGGACAGTCATGTCACAGACAACAATTTCTCCTTCTCCTCCTTCTTGTTTTGCTCTTTCTCCTCCTCCTTCTCTTCCTCTTTCTTCTTCCAAATTAACATATCCAGTAAAAGGATTGAGGTACCTATACCCATTCATGGGGCAGGGGGATATATGTTTCATACACAATTATTTGGAGCTTTTTACGTAATCTGAATATTATGTGGCTAATGAAATAAAAATCCTTCCTAAATCTCATCAAGATGACTTCGTGTGGAGTACTAGGACATTTCCAAAACCACATCAAAAAATACTAATAATAACAACAACATCATCCTGGGGTTTACTGATATGATGACAGAAAACAATGGTCTGTATCAGTAGTTCTCAAACATTTTGGCCTTAGGAACATTTTACAGTCTTAAATATCAAGAACCTTAAAGGACGTTTTTTAAAAAACTGGAGGCTATATCTATTTGATACTTATCATTTAGAAATTAAAATGGAGAAACTTTTAAAACACTTCCATTATCACATGTCATGTAGCCTCTGGAAAACTCTACCGTACTTGGGAGAGAAGAAGAAGAAGGTATTATGTATCAATAAAATAAAAATTTTTAAAAGAATAAGAAAGGCAAATAACATCTTAGTCTTTTTAAGACTAAGTAATCGTGACTCACAGACATCCCATAAGGGTTTCAGAGACTCCAGGGGTCTCTAACCTTACTCTGAGAACTTCTGACCTACATGATACACCCTTTTGGTTAGTAGGAACCCCCTCCCCAGAGCCTGACATCTAAGCTTGGATGTAGTGTGGCCTCAGCACACCACACTAGCCAGGCCTCATCTGCAGCTTTGTGGAATAGTTAGGGAGCTGGGGAATTTCCTTTCGCTTTACTCCTGCAACTGAATCCTGGGGAGTAATGGCACTGCAGGAAGAATTTCCTAAACCGAGTGCTGCCCCTCTAACATACCTCTGCACATGACCAGCCCAGTGCTATCATTTCCTTTAAACTTGCAAAGAGATTTGCATGCATACTGCCTGGATTTTTTTCATTACCAGGAGTAAAGTTTGGCACACATCATCTTATTTCAAACTCTGTTTCTATTTGTATTCTGGGAGTCAGATGGCTGTGTTATCTCTCTCAGCCCAGCTGAATCCTTGGAGGTAGTAAGTTGGACTTGTCACTTCTTTTTGCCCACTGCGTATCTTTTAGCATCATTCAAAAATCTCTCATGAATGGGCCAGAGCACATTCTTTATGTATGAAAGTCTTCACATAATGTTACTCCTGTATAGTGAGATTAATTTTGTAAAGTGAATAATCTTGAGTAGATTTTGTTTCACATCAAAAGACAGATTTGCTATTTTTTTAAAAATGACCTTTTCTATCACAAGTCCAAAACCCCAATAACATAAGGCCATCGACGTGTGTCAGAAATACTTCTACTATTTCATCTTCCTTCACTATAACAGGGAACTTAAAAACCAGCCAATCTGTACAACTCCTTTTTTGCCAGGAACGGAGAGAAATGCTGTATATAGGGAAAGCTATGTTGTATCTTTCCTTCTCTTTTTTTTGTTCCAGCCAAGTATTTAATGCAAGGTCATTGTCATATCTAGTTTCCAGTTTAACTTTGGGGGATCCTACAGTCTCCACTGCCATGTGCTCTGCTCAGGGTCACTATTATTTTCCCTTGATCTGTCAGGGCCTGCTGCATCCTGGGCCTAGGAATATCACACCTGGGGGTACCCGTCCTCCTGAATAGACCTATGAACCATATAACTCCAAACAGCCCAGCTGTAACCAGTTTGGTAGAACTGCTGTGTCTCCTAAGGAAAGCCCTGTTTGGAACGTCTTGAGTATAGATACTCAGGTTGGGGAGGTCTCAGCAGTGAGGAGGGAATTACCCAACAGAGTATAGAAAATTTCCAAGAGGAGGAAAAACCCTGGCCTTGTTTTTATTATAAGCTGAATAACTTATAAACTAAAACTATAAACCTATAAACTATATAAACCTATAAAGTAGGTTGAAAATTAAATTGGGAAATTTAGAAATGGATACATTTTAACAACTAGGAAAAACTAGATGTTGAATCCTCTTTCAACTGTGTCATTCTCAAAACCATCTTACTTTAGCACCTCATAAAATACTGTCCGTGCGCCATGCATATAATTCTTGTTTCTCTAGAAAAATGTATAGCGAACCAAGGATAAGAACAATCTCATGCTGATACCACAACCCTGCAGGAGATCACATGCTTGAGAGATATTTAGAGTGAAAAAAGGTCATTCCTAAGCCATAAGGAGAAAAAGAAAAGAAATTAAGATCCCCAGCGTTAGAGCTATGAAGCTACAAAGGTTATAAAGGTTCTGGATATTAGGACCCTGCCTTTAAAGGGCTTATAACTTTGAATGGAGAAGGAGAATCGCTCTCTCTCTTTCTCACACACACACACACAACACATGTACAGGACAGTAGGTGAATAACCATGAGTTACAAACTGAACACCCAGTGATCACAGCAAAAAGGCTCTCCGTATCTCCAACCATCCAGCTCTCTGGACAGGAACAAAGAGGCAATTGTGTGACCCACTCCGGAAAGCTGGTCGGAGGAGAAATGGCCATATTCACCCACACAGGATGCTATCTCTTATCCTTCACATAGTTGTTGGCAAGACATCTAACTTCCTGGCCAGTGACGTGCAGAATAGTGAAATCAGAAACTGGCAGATACCTTCTCTTTCAAGGAAAATGTGTTCCCAAACCTCTTGGGATTATCCTCAGCTCAGTCCAAGTAGCAGGGATTATGCTGTGGGATGTCACATAGCCAGAGTCAGGAGACCTTAACTTCCTAGATTCTCACACTGAGAAAAATACATAAGGAGTAAGGTGCACATAAAAACAGATATGGTAATACATAGTATTAATTGGCTCTGAGGACTAACTCTGAATAGCTAGAGGACAGAAATTGCCCAAGAAAGATTGTTTAAAAGTATACCCTTATTTGTTATTTGAATTTTGAATCACATGAATGTTTCAGAGACTAAAAAAAAAAAACTTTTAAAAGTTGCCAGAGGGCTAATCTAGGTGATAAACTATCAATAATTGTTCTCCTGACACAAACAGCATAGTCTATGAATGCTAAATGGTTCGGGTAAGCGTCCAGTACAAAGAATACATTTTATCTAAGCGTCCAGTGCAAAGAATAAATTTTATCTCTGTCCCCTGAAACTGTTGCCACTGAAACACTAGCACTGGCAAATAGTAACACATATTTCATGCTCCCGTAACATTTTAATCTTGTCAAGGCACTTTCACTTGTTTGTCCTCTCTCTTTGTGTCTAATTTACCATTGTTCTTCTACCATTAAACAGTGTGGCACACAGCGCCATCCATTTAAAATATGCAGTTTTTTCCCTGGGGCACTGCTGCAAATATTCTTTATTTTATCTACACAGTGCACCTGATTCTTTTTT